TTAGAGTTTTAATGTTAGCACATTCGAGTTGGTGGCTGATTTAAAGAGCATGAGAAACAAGGTACGATGGCCAAAGGAAATGAGATCAAACCCGCACAAGCGAAATCCTGATTTTTGGTGCGAATTTCACAACGATCAGGGTCACAAAACGGCAGATTGTAGATTGTTACAAGGTGAAGTTGAACATTTATTAAAACAATAATATTTAACCGAATTGTTTAGTGAAAAGGGAAAGCAAGCATATATGAAGAACAGGCAGGAGCCCCCAAAACCTCCTTCCCCAAAAACGACGGTTAATGTCATAAGTGGAGGAGAAGAGATCAATGACGTAACATATACAACATCAAAGAAAGTGTCAAAAATTACAGTTACACACGGGAAGCGAGTTCGATAGGTTTTGGAAGAAGATAGTATTACATTTGATGATGTAAATGCAGATGGCGTGCTAACCCCGCATAATGATGCACTGGTAATATCTTTACTTGTACATGACACTAATGTAAAATGAGTTTTGATTGATCCAAGTAGTTCCGTAAATATCATTCTGTTAAGAGTGGTAATCGAGATGCAAGCTGATGATAAGCCGATACCCAAGTCACACACCTTGTCTGGTTTTGACAACTAGAGCGTCGTAACAAAAGGGGAGATAATACTCACCACATTCGCAGAAGGAGTAGTCAAAGATACGAAATTTCATGTGGTAGAAATGGATATGGCTTACAATATGATTCTCGGCAGACCATGGATTCATAAAATGGACGTTGTTTCGTCTACCTTACATCAAGTTATCAAGTTCCCATCAGAATGGGGGATAAGGCAAATCCGTGGTGACCAACAAGCTTCACGAAGCATTAATTCCGTGGTAGATTAACACAAAAAGTGACGAAAAATAGCAATCACAGAATGTAGTTGAGGACGCATCAACACGAACCTCAACCAAAGATGGGCAAACAGATATAGATTCGAGGCCCGATACTATTCAGGAACCAGAAGAAAATGAAAATATCAAAACAATGATCGAGGAACTGGAAGCTGTGGTGCTATTTGCACATTAGTCAGATAGAAAAGTCTACATTGGAACTAACCTTAGCCCAAAAATGAAACGTAAGTTGATTGAATTTTTAAAGGCTAACGCAGATTGTTTTTCTTGGTCCCATTCAGATATGATAGGTATACCACCGGAGGTAATAACCCACAAATAAAATGAAGATCCATCGTACCCACCTGTCAAACAAAAGAAAAGGAAGCAAGGCTCCTTCAAAAACTAGGTGATTCAAGATGAGGTGCAAAAACTTTTAAAAATTGGATCTATCCGCGAGGTAAAGTATCTGGATTGGTTGACTAATACTGTTGTAGTACCTAAAAAGAATGGTAAATGGTGAGTTTATGTAGATTATACTGATCGGAATAAAGCTTGCCCTAAAGATTCTTTTCCATTGGCGCACATAGATCAACTAATTGATGCTACTGCAGGGCATGAATTGTTAAGTTTTTTAGATGTTTATTTAGGATATAATCAGATTAAAATGGATCCTCTAGATGAAGAAAAAACTTCCTTCATCACCAATAGGGGGACTTACTGTTACAAAGTCATGCCATTCGGTTTAAAGAATGTTCGGGCCATATACCAAAGGCTAGTGACCAAAATGTTCCAAGAACACTTAGGAAAAACCATAAAAGTGTACATAGATGATATGTTGGTCAAATCACAACAAATAGGGGACCATATTCAGCACTTGACTGATACATTTCAGATTCTTCGCAAATTTAACATGAAGTTAAATCCTGAGAAGTGTGCATTTGGCGTCTCATCAGGTAAGTTCTTGGGATTTCTTGTTTCTAACCGTGGCATTGAAGTAAATCCTATGCAGATTAAAGCTATTGAAGAAATTTCAGTATACTCACGAGCAAAAAAGAAGTATAAAGGCTGACATGAAGAATAACAGCCTTGGGCAGGTTTATTTCCAATTCATCAGAAAAGTACTTCAAATTCTTTTCGGCTTTAAAAAAGCAAAACCAATTTGAATGGTCTGAAGAATGTCAACAAGTGCTTAAAAATTTAAAGGCATACCTGTCAAATCCGCCATTGCTAGCCAAACCAAAAGACGGGGAGAAATTGTTTGTCTACCTTGCAGTTTCAGAAGTGGCGGTACGTGCCATATTAGTTCGAGAAGACCAAGGTAGACAATCACCGATTTATTATGTTAGCAAATTTTTGCTAGATGCTGAGGCTCGATATCCTCATTTAGAGAAACTTGCATTAGCTTTGATTATGGCTTCTAGAAAATTAAGACCTTATTTCCAATGTCATCCTATTTCTGTGATAATCGCCTACCCCTTACGTAATATATTGCATAAACAAGAGCTATCGGGTAGATTAGCCAAGTGGGCTATAAAACTAAGTGAGTATGACATTATAGAACTGCAATAAAGTCACAAGTTTTAGCAGATTTCGTGGCAGATTTTAGCCAAGGGATACAGTCGGAAGTAGAAAAGGAACTACAGATATTTAACGGATCTAATCCAGGTACATGGACCTTATTTACTGACAGTTCATCAAATGTAAAAGGAGTAGGTCTAGGCATTGTCCTGGTACCACCTACGGGTGAAACCATAAGACAAGTAATAAAGTGTCATCCAATCACTAATAATGAGACATAATATGAAGCTGTGATTGCAGGTTTGAAATTGGAACGAGAGCTCGGAATAGAACAGGTCGTAATCAAAAGCGACTCACAGCTTGTAGTTAACCAGATGCAGGGGACTTATACAGCCAGAAAGGCAAGGATGCAGCAATACCTAGAAAAGGCACGAGATTTGGTCAGACAATTTCAAACTTGGAAAGTCATGCAGATACCAAGGGAAGGAAATGTCGAGGCAGACGTTCTAGCTAATCTTGCATCTGCTGTAGAAGTAACAAATGAAGAAAATGCTTCCGTGATTCATTTGTTTCATCCAGTACTTGATCAAGACGAAAACGAGGTAAATTACAATAATCTAACTTGGGATTGGATGAACGAGATTGTCAATTTTTTACAGTATGGAATATTACTTGAAGATAAGAAAAAGACTCAAGCACTTTGCAAAAAACCGCTCGTTACTGTCTAAATCAGGGCAATCTTTATCGAAAAATGTTCGGTGGTCCTCTTGCAAGATGCCTCGGGCCTTCTCAAACGGAGTATGTGATGAGAGAAATACACGAGGAACAATGTGAAAATCATGCTGGAGGAAGATCTTTGGTAAAAACCATGATTAGAGTCGGCTATTATTGGCCAAAAATGGAGGAAAATGCGGAAAATTTTGTGGCAAAATATGACAAGTGCCAAAGATATAGTTACAACATGCATCGACCAGCTGAATTATTGCATCCGATTGTTGCACCATGACCTTTGAAGTGGGGGTGGATATCGTAGGTCCACTACCACAAGCCAAAGGCAAGGTGCACAAATCACTGAATTTTTCCAAAGTTGGCGAATTAAAAAGATTACCTCAACGCCTTACCATCTGGTGGATAATGGACAAAGCTGAATCAACAAATATAGTCATTATCAGCAACTTGAAGAAAAAACTGGAAGAATTTGAAGGCAATTGGCCAGAGGTACTACATAGAGTCTTGTGGGCTTACCGAACAACAGCAAAAACAAGTACGGGAGAAATACCATTTTCACTTGTATACGGGGCTGGAGCCTTAATTACAGTCGAGATAGGGGAACCAAGTACAAGATATACTCAAGCTACTGAAGAATCGAACAAAGAAGAGATGCGGATAAACCTTGATTTACTTGAAGAAAGGAGGGAAACTGCATTAATAAGGATGTCAGCGCAAAAATAAATTATTGAGCGGTATTACAATCGGAAAGCCCATCTTAGATACTTCAAGATTAGGAACTACATACTCAAGAAAGTTTTTCAATCCACTAGGGCAGCCAACACAGGAAAGTTAAGTCCAAATTGGGAAGGGCCTTACAAGATTCATGGTATCGCAGGAAAAGGAGCATACGAGCTTGAAACATTGGATGGCAAGATTCTACCTTCAAATTGAAATGTTGTTCATCTGAAGAGATACTACTTCTCAGAAAAGGAATACCAACGGGCAGGTATCCCCACTCACAATTTTTATTTTTGAATTATTAAAATTTTACTAATGATTTTAGATGATAGGCAGAAAGCTAGCCTGTACTAAATGATGAATTACGACCTGAAAGACAAGTGGAAAGAACATAATTCCGGGTCTAGGGTTACAACTATTCTGATGGAAATTTAAATGGGTTACGCAGTCTTCATCTAAAATCATATCTCCGAGTCCCGTATGTTTTTTCCTTTTCAGAAAAAGGACCGCGTGGAAGGAATAATCAAGTGCTCGAGATTTCACACTTCAAAGCTCAAACACTTGGGGGACTAATAATATATATATATANCTAAAGTCTACTCAATAAATATCAAGTTTAGAGCAAAGTCACGAGCCTAAAACCCAAGCCTAATCCAAAACCTGTGAAGAATACACTCGTTGATACAGATTGCAAAATCTTACGAATGTTTAGGTTTAAAGGCAATATTTAGCTATGGGTCTAAAGAAACTCTTGGATTTTCTTTTTAGCAAATCTGTTGTAAAGAAAACAGTTACGGAAGAGTAATAGAAGATATTTAAATACATGTAATATGTTATCTAAATTTGACAAAGTTCGAATGAAAACTTTATCAAAGTTATTTTAAGATACATGTTTGTTCCTATTTTTCCTTTCGTATGTTTACACCATTATGAAATTGAGACGTCTTCTTCATTAAGTGTCGTATATAAAAGGGTCATCTTTTATAATTCATGTTTGATTCAAAAATCCATGAAGTTAATTAACCATTCCTAAAAGTGCAAAAAGTCAAAAGGGTAAAGCAAAAACCCACGTATTAAAAAGCAAGACCTTGGACTTATAAGAAAAAGCAAGGCGAATTACTAAAAGAGTATAGCAGAAACTCGACAGAATTAAGTTAAAATGAAAACTTTGTAATATTAAGTTTAAGCTAAGTATGAACTTAGTCATAAATTGATTCTCATTCTAAAAGCTCCGAAAAGACCTGGGGACATACTGTTACCAAAAACATAACCCCCAAATAGGACCAGGGGTAATACCATCACACATTCCACCAAAAAGAAAAAAAAAGAGTCAAACTTCATAAATAAACTTTCACTGTGGAGCAGGTTCAGAAGAAGAGTTCAGGGAATCATCAACAACAGAAGGCTCGATTTGGTTTGAAGGAGCTGGGACATCCATCGCACTAGGATCAACTTCAACATTTTCAAGAGTATCATCCATAGGTGAAGAAAAGCTTTGGCTTTGCTGAGTTTTTTCAATTGTTTCCTGAATCTTGGCTAACTCAGCATCCAAGTTAAAACCTTCCTGACTTACCTCCATAAGCGTATCATGGCGCATGTTCAAAATAGCCCAAATAACTTCAACAGCAGCCTTGAAGTCTCTTTCCAATGGTCAATTTCACTCTTGAGCTCCTCCCTCTCAGCTAAAACAGCATCGTAAGAAAACTGTAAAGGGGTAAATGAACTCTCCAAAAACTTAACCTTGTCAGTAGACACTCGGAGATCTTCTTGGGACTGCATGAGTGTTTGAACAAGCTCACCAGCATAACTTCTTTCTCATTTAGCAAAGCTTTAAGGCCTCTGATCTCTTCAGTAGTTTGGAGAGTTGTTCAGCAAAAGAAGACTCAAAGAGATTCTTGTCCTTGCCCGCCTGGTTGGAAGAAGCTTTTTCAACTGCCAATTCCGATGACATGACTCTCAACTGCTGCTCTAAGGTACATTTGCTTTTTTCTATGCCACGACCCGGATTTCCCGCCCTCAGGAGTTGTGTGACGCTTACTAATGTGAGTTAGGCAAGTCGACTTTTGAACAATTTACCTATTTCCCATTTTAATCCTTTAACAATTTTGAACAATAATTTAAAGACAGCGGAAATTATAACAAGTGGAAGAAAAATAATAAAAATACTGAGTATATCCAATACAACTGTTTGAAAAAGACTACCCAAAACTGGAGTCATAACTTCACAGAAGAGGGACGCCAGGACCTGCGAACGCTTGCAGGACTACTTTGGATCTCCGTATGGACTGAAGGCCGCCACCCAAGCTAAGGTCCAAAAGCTGTTGCTCCGGGATCTGCACATAGTGCAAAGTGTAGTATCAGCACAACCGACCCCATGTGCTGGTAAGTGCCTAGCCTAACCTCGACGAAGTAGTGACGAGGCTAGGACCAAACTACCAAATAAATCTGTGCAATTAAATCATATACAACGGAAAAGAAGAACAGTAATATACAGTCAAGTATGAGAAGGGGAAACATGCTGCGGAGAAACATCAATTAAGAATAGAAAGACCGGGAGTAAATAAAAGAAACATCATATCTCAAATATCAGCAAAAATCAGGAATCAAACCAGTGCACGACATCACCCTTCGTGCTTTTACTCTCGTCCTCACCAAAAGAATCAATATAAATTGCACGGCATAACCCTTCGTGCTTTTACTCTCGTCCTCACTATAAAATCAGTATAATCGGCACATAATGGTACATCGTGCGGCACGGTATCACCCTTCGTGCTTTACATTCTTCCTCACAAAATCATACACGACATCACCCTTCGTGCTTTATCACTCTCTCACCAAAACAATATACGGCATCACCCTTCGTGCTTTAACGCTCTTCCTCACCCAAACAACAATCACAAATAATATGGCAAGGAAATAAATGAAATTATAATAAGAATCCTGGCAAGGGAACAATGGTTCAATAACAATAATTGCTAAAATGAATACATCCAGTAATGGTCATTTCATTGTTTGCTAAACAAACCTAGATCTCCTAAACATAAAGTGATCTACTATGGAAAATCCCTTATTATACGAACAGGAACTTAACACCATTACATCAAAATTAAACCCATGTACATCAGCCCGCATTTAACAGATTTATAGAAGAAAACAAAAGCAACACCTAGCCATTTTACATCAGATTCACAACCATTTGATAATAATAATAAACACCTCAGATTCACTCGCTTAACAGAGAAGAATATGTAGCTTAACGAAATTATTTTCATAGAACATGAGTCATCCAAATCAAGTTACATGATCAAAATTGAGAAGAGTACCTTGATGTGGAAACAGAATAGAGAGAAACAGTGATAAAAGATAAATCTGGAGCTCAAAAGGGAAGTGAATCAGCAGCAACCAACCATGATTTGAGAGTTTAATCACTCTTAGAAAACCAGAAAAAATTTCCGAGCAAATCAACAGAAAACCAAACAGCTTCTTGAAACTACTGATCTATACTAACATTTTTAGGCTATTTGGAGTATTTTTAACTGCTACTCTTGTGTATTCCTCGTCGCCTAAGATTCCAGATCTCGACAATGAACTTCAGGTCCAGAAAATGTGTCTATGGGTATAGGTATGTATTCTGTGAGGACAGGGGAGTGGGGTGAGTGAGCATGTACGCGGATGAGAAAGTAAGGAGGGAGAAGGAAATGGCGCTGATAATTTTCTGAAAAAAGGGAGGGTTTGTTCCTGGAAAATCAAGGTGGAGGGGGCAGCGACGGTCTCTTCTTTTGGGGGGNTTTTATTTGGGCTTGTAGCTGACCACCAGGACCAAGAACGAGCAGTCCTAGCTGTCTTGCCAAATCGACCATGACAAGCTGAATCATTTGGCCTATAAGCTTTCACCTCAGTTATTTGAAGAACCACATCATCTCTCCTAAGGAACTTGCCAAGCAAACGAGGGGCAAGATCAAGTGCATCAATTTGGTCTAAAATCTTGGGTCAAGATTGGATTTTTATTCAAGAAAGCTATAAGGGTAGTGTTAATTTGAGGGATTGGGATGGGGGGTTCTAGGCTATTTTGGGGGAATTGGGCATCAGAAATGATTCTAGCCCAAATTCAAAACAAGACCAAATCAAAACCCTTTCTTTCTTTTCGCAATGTTACCCATTTTAAACTCTAATTTAATTTAATCTAATTTTTATATGGCTAACCTATTCATTTATTTTGCCTAATGATGGATTAATACAACTAATTAATTAATTAACTTAAGAATGCAATTTATTTATTTTTTATTTAAATGATGCACTTAGCAATGTAATTAATTCTTAAATGCAAATTAAACCTAAGATGACATGAAATTAAAATGTAATAATTTTTTTATGCTTTTTTTTTTAAAATATTAAAAATGCATGAAATGCAACTAAAAAAAGAAAAACTACTAAAAATCAATTAAAATCATTTTTGGTCCATTTTTTAGGAGTTATTTTCATGTAGGGCAAAAATTAGGTGCTCACAGGTATTTCCAAGATCTAACCTCCATCGGAGCGATGGTCAACAATTTCTCTACCCAATCACGGAAATTGGGAATCTCTTCAACAGTTCCCATGGTCGCTGAAAAAAGAGAGGTGAAACGGTCACGGGAAAAACAAACCCTTTCTTTAAAAGTAAGGGG